CTTCCTTCCTTCCTTCCTTCCTTCCTTCCTTCCTTCCTTCCTTCCTTTTTTTAGACAGGATTTCTCTGTGTAGCCCTGGCTGTCCTAGAACTTACTATGTAGACCAGGTTGGCCTTGAATTCACAGAGATCCACCTGCCTCTGTCTCCTGAGTGCTGGGATTAAAGGTGTGGGCTACCACCGCCAGCCTGAATGTCGCTTCTTGGGCATCTTATGCAAGGCTGGTCCCTCCCTGTGTGTCCATCTCCCCACCTGTCAAACCGTATTCTTTCTAGACTCCCTTTGGACTCAGAGTCCAAGGATCAGTAGGGTTTTATCCTTCACTGAGCATCTCTTGAGTTACAGGCCAGAGCCCTGTGGCTTCCATTTGCTGCCCTGTGATGCTAAAGAGACCCTTAAGCTCGTGCCAGCTCCTCAGTGTGCAAGGGAACCAGACGGACTGGGATTGCTGCACAGGGCTGCTTCTAGCTGAAGGGTTATGTGCCTTATGCTCAGCACAGAATTGTTCTGCACCTAGGAGATGGGGCTATGGTTTTACTGAAGTGATGGGAAACAGACTCAGGGCTGAAGTAGCCAGAACCTTGGGAGGGCTCCTGCTCCGCCCTTCTTTGTCCTTCTCCAGCAGACATCTCTAAGAGATGGAGTCAGCTGTGGGAGGAGGGAGAGAAGATAGAGAACCCAAGGGGTGGGGTTGTGACCCCAAATCCAAGAACTGTCCAATAGGTGATGTGACTGGAAACTGGCTCAGAGGGGTTAGAAGTATCCAGGGGGCTACCAGAAGAAAAAGGGCAGACTTCCTGCCATGTGGAGAAAACTGGGGTGCCGAGGGGAGAATCACAAGGGGACGCTTCTCCTGGGAATACAGGAGCTCCTGCTACAGCGTGAGAAACCTTGCCCCCTGCTCTTCTTTACTGAGCCTGCTTTCCATTCCCTGTGCTGAACCTAAGTCCTCTTCCGTCTCCTGAACCTGGGTTCTTTTCTCTTTGCTGAGCCTGGATCCCTTCCCTTTGCTGAGCCTGGGTCTCACCTATGAAGTAGGCTAACCTTGTAGGATTGCTTCCAATACTGTGTGAGTCACATACACAGTGCTCAGAATAGCCCGGGCACACGGGCAGCCATCTCTAGGTGTTAGCATTTCATAGTATGTCTCTGGCCAAAATGGTTACCTGGAAGAATTCCAGGGGGCTAGGAGGGCACAGAATGTCTCAGCAGGGAGCGACTCTAGGCACGCTGCTTGTACCCTGCACCCACGCTGCTTCCCATCACCAGCAGCCTGTGGCTACTACTGCCCACATGTGCGTGCCACGCTGGGGTGGTACCCGTTGATTCAGCAGCCGTTCTCAGGTCTGTCACGTTACAGACGTCCGACAATATCTGTTGGTACCATCATTTTGGAATGCAGAACACCCAAGCCTGGTGGAACCATCCCGTCCAGCCAAGCCTCCTTGCATTGGAACTTGCTACATCCTGCCCATCCTTGGACCACATCTGCCAGGCCCCACCTCCCGAGCCCTGCGGCCCAGCTCCCTTACTCACACAATGCCAGGCTTGCGGCAGGACTTGGAGGTCCAGAAGTACTCCTTCACTACGCGTGCTGGCAGGGGGTGACGCAAGTAGTCCTGGCAGCAGATGCTGTCTTCCACGTTGGTACCGTAGGGAGCTGGTGGAGGGGTACCCAGGGCACGTCAGCTGGAGTGCGGAGAGGCCAGCCCCAGCCCTGATCACAGGCTTGATGCCACCCAGGTAAATATCCGTTCTAGGCCCCATGCAGAGCTGTCACTCGGGGCCCAGAGTCTACACTCTGGGATAGACAGCTCCAGGAAGTGGATTCAGAATGGCTCCGCACCAACTGGCTTCTAAATGGGGTCCTGCACCTCTGAGCCAGAGGGAGCCCTGGTGTTCACCTTGGATTAGTGTGTGGACGCCAGTACCAGCATCGGAATCAAGGCTCAGACAGATGATAGTCACAGCGCAGACCTGGGTCAAGTCCCACTCTGCCCCTGAATGACCCTAATCGTGTGTCATCTCCAAAGCCCGTGGAAGAATACCAATCCCATAGGACTTTGTGACATGGAGGCTGTCTGTGAGAAACAGTTGGTTGGTTGTAGTTGCCTCATTCCAGATGGAGACCCTTCTCCTGCTCTACCCAAAGCAGGAGTGTTGATAATGCAAAGGGAAAGAGGGGTCAGGACCCTGTGTCAAAAGGCTCCAGAGCAAACCTTGGGTGTTGTGAGGGCAGGGACAGCTTTCTAAGAGAGTCTCTACCTCCCTCAACTCAAACCTGATACCTTGTGGGCCCTGTATCCGCTTCAAAAACACCCTAGACTTGAGCTATCTGGGCAACAGGGTCCCTAAACCTTACATACTACAACCACCAAACCAACTGAGGCAGATCCCACAAGCCAACCCTTCCTGACTACCCAGTTTATAAATGGGTATACCCGTGTTTAAACGGTATTACCCATTTAGAAGTCATAGCGCTAGCCCAGGAGAGTGCCAGAGTTAGCCCAAAGCCATGAGAGTAGATGGCAGAACCACTCTGAGACGGTTTCCCGACACTCTAGTGTCCGCTCTTCTGCTCCCCAGCCTCACCTGCATCAGGCGTCTGAACGACCACAGCGAGAAGAACGAGAGTTACGAGGAGCAGAGTTCGCAGGCCGGCCATGTTGAATCTATCCTTGCCAGGTGTCTATGACCAGAGGACAAGGAGGCCTGATATTTAAACACTCTCTCCACCCACTGGTTCAGACATCTCTTAGTCACCACCGAGCCTAATATTCATGCCCTAAAAGAAGAAGTCCTACTTCCCCAGACAGGAGGATCCAAAGGCGGGGAAGTACTCAGAAGGGACTGAAATTACAGGTCCCCAGAGGCCTGTGAAGTCCCCTCAGTGGTGATCTCCAGGGGCTGTTTGCCCTATGACCTCAGTCATACCAGTAGGGGTCTTGGGGAGAAACGTCTCCTGGCAGAGAATGGGAAGCAGACAAAGTCCCGCTGCCCACCTCAGTGGCTATTGGTACATGGACAGCAGACAAGGACAGACTATTGGGGCCTCCTAGGCAAAGACGGACTGTTGCAACCTTCTTCATGCCTCAAGGCCGGGCATCAGAGTCTCTCTGCAAGGGTGGAGGCCTATGAGCCCTTTGGATCAGGCTTTTGGCCCTATAACCTGACTTTTCTAGGCCTTCTCAGATGCCTCGGCCTCCCCCGGTTCAGAGCAGGCTGCTCCTGATGCACAGAACCGGCATCTTCTCGGGCTTTTCTCGCCCACTTCATCTCCCTCTCTTGCCCCATCCCACTGATTCTACTTGCTTTAGACACAGTCCCTCGTCCCCAGACCTGTCCAACCGCACCGCCTGCGTGGACACCAGCAGATTCCCCTCCCCATGCTGCGGCCAGCGGGAGTGTACAGACTCAAAGGGCCATGTGGCCCTTTCTGACGCTAAAACCCTACTGGGGTCCCCCAATCACCTGAGGGCGGAACCCAGACTCCTGGCTAGGACATTCAGGGTTATCTTTTCAAAACCACTCCCCACAGTCAGAGAGATCATGCCACACTAAGTTCCTCAAAGAGGTCTGTGGCCTGCCCCTGACTCTGTTTACACTCTCCACTTCTCTACGGAAGAAACGCCCACTCAGACGTCAAGAGCCATCTGAAATGTCACTTCTTTGGTCAGCCCACCTACTCAGAACGTCACACTCTCCAAGTGTCCTGGAATGTGGCCCAAGAGGAGCCAGCGCGAGACTGTCATACAAGCACTGGAGAGCTGGTCTTTTACCATTCCTAGTCTTCAACCTGTTGAGCTCTAGGCTCCAGATTCCCAGCTCTGAGCCGTCATCCGTGCTGGGGTGGGCTTTGGTGGTGCAGCTGTCTTTGAATCATTTTTACTCCTGTAAGTAACCCCTCACCTATATTCCTGTAAGCAACCTCCCAAAAAACTCAATAGTTCACCGAGCTGGACCTTAGCGATATTCCTACTTTGGCCTCTGTTTGGGCTCCCTACCTGGAGTGAGTGACTGTGTATGCTACATCTCTCTGTGAGACTTGTCACATGTCACATAACATTCAGCAAAGCAGATGGCAGCCAGAGTCGCAAGCATCTGAACGCGCCTAATGCTGCTGAGCGTGCGCCACGTGGTCTGAAGTACTAAGTACGTGGTGTGTATTGTATGCCAGAAACGTGGCCCTCTCCCAGTTAAACCAAGCTTCCAGTACTAATTTCTAGTTAGAGAAAACACAGGCGTTGGATGTGGTTGTATTCTCACACTTGTATTCTCAGCTGCTGTGGAGGGTAGAGAAAAGGGTTGCTTAGGCCCATGAGTTCAAAACAATCCGGGCTGGATAGTGAGTTCTAGTCTTTAACAAAATATCAACAAAAGCTGGAAGAAAATAAGTTATCCCACAAAAGCAATTTGCTAAACCCCAAAGGACCGTCAGATCTTCAAATCTGTCCCAGATTTTATAGTGTGTGTGTATGTGTACGAGCGTGCGCGCGTGCGCGCGCGCGCACACACACACACACACACACATGCTTCAAAAATTAGGGCTGATCATGATGACATATACCTATAATTATAGCACTCAGAAGGTTGAGACAGGAGGATTCCTGTGAGTTTGAGACCAGTCAATGACCCTATAATGCAAAGCCAGGGTTGCGGAGATGGTTCAGTGGACAAGGCACCTGTTTTGTGTGTATGGAGGTCTAAGTTTTGTCTTCCGGACCCACAAAGGGCAGACACATGACTGTAATCCCAGAGCTCCATGATGAGATGGGAAGTGGAGCCAAGGAGGATCCCTGAAAGCTATCCTGACTCATGAAGTGATAAGCAAGAAACCCTGTCTCAAACAAGGCAGAAGACAAGAGCCCACGTCAGATACCAGTTTCTAACAAGGACCTCCTGAAGCCTGGCATGGCAGCTCACTTACAATCTCAACATCTGGGTGTGAGGCAGAAGGATCACCATGAGTTTGAAGCCAGGCTGGGTTATGCTGTGAGTTCTAGGGAAGCATAGGCTAGATTTATACCCCGCCTCAAAAAAATAAAGCCAAAGGCTTTCTATAAATAAGTGGGGAAGTTTGAATACAGCCTGGTATTAGTTGCTATTGTGTCTTAGAGTAGATTTGCTTTATGCAGTGAAGACTTCAGCGTGTGTAAGAGATGGTCTCGCTCCCAAAGTAGGCACACTGAGGTATTTAGGAGTGAGAATCATGATTTCAGAGTTGGGGCAAAATTCATGGTGACAAATGTAATATGTGTATATGACACCTTTGGCTGTGGTATCAAATGCATCTATTAGATGTGTGTACATCTATTGATATGTAGAGTATTGTGTATGTGTATTTATAGACATAGATGCATGTGCAAGATATGTATGTGTGTGAGATACATATTTGAATGTGCACGTGTGTGTCTAGAGGGGGAAGCAAAGCCAAAATGGCAAGACGAAGTTGCTAACAGCGGTGGGACTTGGTCATGTGCTGAACTAATTTAACAAACAGCACACTTGACCATTAAACATGTATCTAATTGAGCGTGGTGGTACACTCCTGTAATCCCAGCTCTTGGGAGACCGAGGCAGAAGGATCAAGAGTTTGAAGATAGCCTGGGCTACAGGAGAAGACCCTGTGTCAAAAGCAAGTGAAAATACAAAGATCTGTTTTATGTCTTTGTTTTGAGGCAGGGGCTTGCTGTGAAGCCAGGCTGGCCTCTAGCATGCAGCCATTCTCCTGCCTCTGTCTCCTGAGAGCTGGGATTAAAGGTGTGTTTCACCACAGTTCACACCAAAAAGAAAGGTAGCTGTGTGTGTGTGTGTGTGTGTGTGTGTGTGTTATAGAGTCTCGTTATGTTGTCCAAACTGATCTCAAACTTCTGAACTCAAGTGATCCTCCTGCCTCAGCCAAGCAATATTTCTTTAAAAGACCTTTGCATCTATTTATTTATTTACTTTTTGGGGAGATGGGAGCAGGAGCCAGGCTTCCGTCATGTAGATTCTGGGAATTAATCTCTAGTCATCAAGTTTGGCAGCCAGCACCTCTGCCCTCTGAGCCAAATCACCGGCCCAAGCATTATTTTTGCATGTGAAACTCCTCTGTGAGCCAACGGCTACCACGAGAGCACGGTAAGCAAGTAAGCCTTGGGGCTTTCTTAAGGGCCTCTTAGGGCCCAGGGCCTCCATGGTGGGCCTGGGGGTCTTCCCCTGGAGAACACCTGGGTCCCCAGAGACTTGGCAGGCCCCAAGGCTCTCATCCTGGCCCAGTCTTTGAGCTTAGTGCCCCTTCCCCCTGCCCTGGGCACACCTGCAACCTGGCGACTTCGGCACTACCAGGGCTCTTGACCACCCTCACTGAAGGAGGGGCAGATATGGAATTAAAGGAGCCCTGATGCCCAGTCAGAGCACAGGGCATGGTGATGAGCTTTCAAGGGAAGCAGGGGGAATTCTTGGGACTGCAGATGGTGAAGCCCAGGACTTAGAGTGGCAGTAGGGATAGGGATGGGGCGCTTATGATGAAGGGGCTGATCTTTTCTCCTCCTGGTAGTCACACTGTCTCACTTTGTACATTGAAAGGTATAGAATCTCCCAGACAATCCTCTTGTCCTAACCTCCCTTTCTTTGTTTAAATTAATATTTGTTTGTTTTGAAGAAAGTGTCTCACTATGTAGCCCGAGCTGGCCTAGGCAGACTAGACACTATGTAAATCAGATTGACCTCAAACTTGCACTGATCCTCCTGTCTCTGCCTCCAGAGTATTGAAATTATAGTTGTGTGCCACACCATTCCAAGATCTGAACTATTTTTATTTATTTTTTATTATTTTTTGTTGTTGTTGTTTCTTTTTCAAGGCAGAGTTTCTCTGTCGCTTTGGAGCCTGTCCTGGAACTCACCCTGTTAGACCAGCCTGGCTTCAAACTCACAGAGATCCACCTGTCTCTGCCTCCTGAGTACTGGGATTGAAAGCGTGCGCCACCACTGCCTGGCTTATTTTTATTTTATTTGCATTGGTGTTTTGCTGCATGTATGTCTATGTTAGGGTCTCAAACCTTGGAGTTCCAGACAGTTGTGAACTGCCATGTGTTTGCTAGGACTTGAACCCAACTCTGAAAGAGCATTTAGTACTCTTAACCATTGAGTCATCTCTTTGGTCCCCTGAGTTAATTTTTATTTATTAAAAACTTAAAGCAGTAGTGGGTTGTGGTGGCACATGTCTTTAATCCCAGCACAGAAGAGACAGTGACAGGTGGATCTCTGTGACTTTGAGGTCAGTGGTCTATATATTGATTTCCAGGACAGCAAGGGCTATCTTATCTTTAAAATTAATAATAAACATCAAAACTGTAAAGCAGAAACTGGTGGCATATATCTGTCACCCCAGGTGCTTCAGAGCCTGAGGCAGCAGGATTGCTTGAACCCTAAGGGTGAAGGATCTGCCTGTGAATTTAAGCAAGACTTCAGAAAGAGGGGGGGAGAGGGATTTGGGAAGATAACTTAGTAAAATGCTTATGCACAAACATGAAGACCTAAGTTCAAATCCCCAACACCTAAGTAAAAAACCAACTACAGTGGCTGGGGACTTAGAGATGGGAGACTCCTTGGAGCTTGCTGGCCAGCTGGTACAATCTAGGGAAATCCATAAACTCCAAGTTCAGGGATAGACCTTAACTCCAAAAATAAGGAGAAGGCTAGAGAGATGATGGCTCAGCTCTGATGCAGGGGACCTGAGCTCAGCTCCCAGCATTCACAC